TATTTTCCATAATATCACTCTTTAATATATATAATTTTAAATTAAATATCTTGAATAAATAAAAACTTCATATTTTATATAAAAAAAATATGCATTTTTTTATAAATACAAAATATTAATTTAAAAAACAGATCAATTAAAAAAATTTATCTTTATAGAATAAATACATATTTTTGTTTCAAAATATATTATAATTATATATATATATATAAGTATATATAATTTTATTTATCCAAGATGTCAAAAAATTATGTAAACTGATAAACAACATATATATAAAATATTAGAATCATTACTTTGTTGTTAAAACAAAACATGTTTGCTTCTATCCACAAATTCGCCAAATTGTACATATATGTACTTAGACAGTACTATTAAAAAATTTTAGAAAAATTCATATATTATTATAAGAAATAAGAATTTACTTAAATTGTCTGTCAAATAGAAAAAATTCTTTAAAAAAATTTAATTTATTTGCCTTGCAAAAAATATTCTAGAATTTATGAAATGAATATTTATAATACTCAGTTTTTATACTAAAAATTATTACATATAAAAATAAATCAATAATAAATTAAATTTTGATGTGATTAATAATTTTTAGCATATATTATGAATTAATTATATTTTAATACTCAATATAAATTGCTTTAATATTTTTTAGTTTTTAATTTGTGCTTATAGCATAATTCATTATTTTATTTATGTATTATTATAAATTAGAGCAATAATCTAAGACTAATTGTATTAAAAATTATCTTTAAATGTATTGCATATACTTTGAAGCTGTATGATTGGCAACAGTATTACAATAATATATATAAACATATAAATATATACTTATATTTCATATTTCTTCAACCAAATATTTTATACAGATTTTAATATATAAAAATATTATATTTAATTATATTTGGCATATTAAGATATAGTATTTAAGAATAGTATATTTATAGAAATACAAATTATGAGTTTTTGTGCTTCAAATAATCATAATGTTATTTCTTAAATATAAATATGTCACATTAATATACTATATCTATCGTACATATTACTTGAAGTATCTATATAGAATTAAAGCTATTTAATTTAGAAGAAATAATATAAGTTTTTTTAATTTAATAACATTTAATAAGAAAATTCATTATATTAATAATTTAGTATTTAATATAAAATTACTGAAAATTACCCTTAATTTAATATTGTATTAATAAAGGTCTGAATATTTTTGAAAATGTCAACTATATTGCGCGTCGTGCGCACGCAAAGCATGCAGCATGCGCACAGAACGACGCGCGACGGCTGTATGCGGTCGCTTGCATGCCGCTGCCCATATAAGGTAATTTCCCCACGTCCTTTACTATGATTGGTTGGTATGACCGGCAGATCACATCGATGATTAATTTCTACAAATTATATATCATTGCTCTTTGAATGACTTACATAGCTGTTTTATGATATTAAGAAATTGATTGATTGATCTTATCTCCAAGATAACCTCAGAAAAAATCGTATTCTAAACGAGATTAAATATTGTATAAATACCGGCATGACCGCATCACACAACGCTTGCGCATTAAAATAATTCTACCGGTTACAAAATAAAATTTAGGCTTGCATGTATTTAATTTGCTGATTTGTAGTAAAAAAGAAGACAGTATTCAAAATATACAATTTGTTAATGAATTTTTCTAAAGAAAGTATTCGTATAATCAATTATGAATTTTTGTTAGCCAATGATCAACCAATCAAGACAAAGTTAATAAGAGTGCGCGCGCGCAGGCGTAGGGATACAGGATTCGCAGAAAGCTAGCTAAGAGAGGAGACTCCCTTCCCGTTCGTTCGTGAGCCGCGACCCCCGCGACTGGACACTGCGCCTATCCAGTTCCACCAGACCAAGGCTCTCGCGAAAGTGTAGGTTAAAGTGCTTGTTTACGTGATTCTTCTCACCGGCTACTACATCACGAAATGGTAAATATTATACTGTGCATGTATCTATATCTCAAAAAATGTCAATGATCCTTCGGAAATTGATACAAAGCTTACTTTGTGGTTATGGCCGAAGCAGACGCGCCGGTCGCCATTTCTGTCCCGGCAATACGCCGCGAGAACGACTTTCTTCTTTTGGCTACACCAATCAACTGATATCATTTATATTGTACTTGTTTGAAATCATCTGTGTTATTAATTTTCATAATTTTAATAACGAACAAACAAAATTAAAACTTCTGATATAGGTGCATTTTTACGTGCCATTCGCGATTCCTTGTTTCCAGGAAACGGATGATTCATTTCCAGTTTCGTGATACGACAGTCAGACTCAAAGAGCAACTGTGATCGATATCGAGAAAAAATTATATATCGTTGATAAGTAAAAAGTTGCAATTATATTGTAACACATCGTTGCATAGTAATAGTTTCGGAATTCTTTTTCAGTTGTATTTAATTAGAAGGAAAGAAGAAATTTGTTTCTACAGTAGAAAGATGTTTTCCCGCTAATCTAACATTTTTGACGGTTAGTCTTTTTATTTTTTTTTATAAACATGTTTTAATTTAATAAATTGTTAAAATTATATTATTCTAATTTCTTCACTAAATATTAGAATAATTATTTGAAAATAAAATTTTATGTACAAATTTTATATAATGTTGTGCAAATAAGGATCTTCTCTTTATTTCTTATACTATATTGATTTACTATTTGACATTGATTTCATTGAATGCTATGAAATTCATTTAAATATTATTATTATGGTATAATTTTATTCTGAGTTCAAACATTTCTCAAATTTTCATTATAATTGCCAAAAATTTATATAACGAATATAGGTTATGCCAGATTTAAATTTCATACTAATCTTTATATACGATGTCGAAATATTGAACTCTATTATCGATCAGCGACAGTTTTAATTTGCATTTAATTTTTTAAATTCCTATATTATTATGTTTTATTTTTTAATAATTACTATAAATTTACTATAAATTAATAAAAAAACTTTCTTGAATCTATATGTAATAAAAATTTTACATAAATATATAAATTTGTACAAATATAATATATATATAAATGAAAAATACAGTGTGCAATTTAAAAATGAATTATTTATATTATCAAATTTCATATTTTTGTATTATCTAAAGTATGTTATTTATTGTCATTAATTGTGATCATATTCTATTGCTAGAAATTATTTAATTGTTTAAAAGATATAATTAATAAATAGCTTTTTTTTTACTAATTAAGAATTCATGTTTGTAGAATGATTTGTTTTGTGAATTATATTTATCGAAGTTCCGGAAGAATTCATTAAGTAGTCGTGTTTCGTTTCCGGCAAATTGGCGACAGAGAATTAACCATGTGAAACTGGCACAAGTAGTAGTAACTACCGTTCTCTGAATACATTTTAAATATTTATGCTAGCTACCGATAGACGCTGTATCCTTGGTAATGAAGAGTTGAGTTTCCTTGCGAAACTAACCCTCCCCCTCTCTATTGCTTTGAGGATGACAGTGAACTACAAGAGTATGGCAGAGAGGGAAAAATTCAATGAGCCTGTAAGGAGGTCGGTTCTTGCAGGCCAGTGACTCTCAGTTCACTGACGCCTTCGTTAAACGTGATGAATACGCTGATTATTTTCAGCAATGCAAGAATTAATTTTATTTATTATTTTAATTCATTTAATTCATTAATAATCTAATATTTTCTCTTTCTTATCAATAATTAAAAAAACATTGATATTGATTAAAATTTTCAATTTTTCATTTAATTTATTTTTTCTATATAAAATCTTTGCTAGAAAAATATTTATCATTAGAAATAAAAGAAATTAACATAATTAGAAATTAAAATTATTGAATATATTATTAAAGATAGTATAAAAAAAATTGAAAACAGTTATATAATTCTTATCGAAATTTTATACATGTTACACATTTTCAAATAGTATTTCATTTTTCTTTAACAAAAATTAAATATTTACTGACTTTTAATATTTTCGTACTAAAATATATATTAAATAAATAATATAAATATCGCATATGTAAACGAACTGTATAATCGACAGTTAAACAACCGACTATGTCGCTCTTCATCGGTGAATCATCTTCCGTTTGACCTTGTGCCACACACAAGAGACATTTACAACAACGCCCTAGAGGGAGCCAAGTCTGGCCCTAACCGGCATCCCCTGTCGTGCCAGAATATCGACCGAGGAATTGCATCCTCCATCCACTGGCTATCCTCCAACCATGTTACACTTTTCGTTAGACCCTTTTACACCCCAATAGATCCTTACGTTCATTATATCAAATAAATAAAAGCTTTAATTATTTATTTAAAAATTCAAACGATCAATTAACAAAAACGAATTAATTTTACAAATCTTTAAACAATATTTTTTATTTGTTTTATTAATTACGATCATTTTCATATATAAAAATCGTATTGATTTCATATACAAAATTCATATGTTATAAATAATAGTATGAAATATATTTATTGAAATATGTTGTGATATTGTAAATATAAAATAAATTTAGTTGAATAATTTTAAGTTAAATCATTATTATAAATAATTAAGATTATTTATTTTAGTAAATAACCAAGTTTAAGCAAATACATAGGAATTGTATATGTGGTCTGGCAAAGTATCTGCTTTATCTTCAAATATCGAATTACGTTTTACTCGACTAATTTTAGCGATCTTGCAATTTCTTGTTTATAGTCATGAACCTGTTTGTTTTGTCATGATTCCTTGCATTTGTCGCAAGATAACCTAAAATTTTTTACAATTTGAATTAAAAAGATAGATTTTCGAATTAAAAAACGTTTATCTAAAAGCTCTTTCAAAAATAACTATTCTACTTCGAACTTTTATTCTGTGCATGCCGCTCATCTGTATCGTTACCTCCCTTCTTTTCTTTCTTTTCCTCCCTCCCTCTTTTCTCTCTTTTCCTCCTTCCCTCTTTTCTCTCTTTTCCTCCTTCCCTCTTTTCTCTCTTTTCCTCCCTTCATTCTTTCCTCTATTCTGCTGCCTTCGCCAGAATCTATCCGAGTATCATGTCATAGTCGTATTTCACAAATTTCCACAGAGTGGAAGAAACACGCAGTCGGGCAGACCTCCGTATCGTGTGGCACGTGCCGAGAGCAAAGGATAACTTTAGAAATGGACGTCGGATCTCTTTTAGCATCGAATTCGTGCGTGGGAAGACTTTATTTCGGTACGTCCCCTACGTTTGCCCGCGAAATAAGCTTAAACGGCCAGACTAACATGACGCGCATAGTACTGATAGTACCGATACTGGCACGATCTCATCATTAGTCAAACACTTACTCATATATGGCAATGCAGAAAGATGTCCGACGCTCGTAATCTGTGTTCACACGATGCTAAAAGAAAAAGTTATTTATCTAAAAAAATGGTATTGAGAGATAAGTAGGGAAGTTGTTGAAAAGTAAGTTACTGATAAATCAACGAAACGAACAGCAAATGCAATTTCAATCGAATGCTTATAATTAATTTTCAATTATATGGTATTCAAATTATTATTGGATTTTTGATTATTTTAAATAAAATAATCTAACAAGATTTAAAATTCTAATAACATTTCATATTGTTATACACGTAATAAGGATATGTATCATAAACTGTATAAAGAGTTACAAGTTTCTTGTCACCGCTATCAATTTCAACGAGTACGATTGAGTTTTATAAACAATTTTTTTATCAGACTCTTATGCAACCTTGTGACTCATTATTACATTTGATTCGTCTTTATGATATCAACGATTGCATATTACTTCGATAAATTTTCATTTATTGAAAATTATTTGTTATAATTTAAAAAAAGATAATTTATTAATAAAAAAATAATAATTAAATGTATAATAAATGTATAATAAATATTATTAATAGATGTCTGTTTATTTGTTTAGGCATCTGGAGTAACAGTGGCTGACGTTTGTAAAACAACGTACGAAGAGATTAAAAAAGACAAAAAGCATCGATATGTAATCTTTTATATTAAAGATGAGAAACAAATTGATGTTGAAGTCATCGGACCTCGTGATGCAGCATATGATGCCTTCCTTGAAGATTTGCAAAAAGGTGGTAGCGGAGAATGTCGCTATGGCCTCTTCGATTTTGAATACACTCATCAATGTCAGGGAACTTCTGAGGTAGCATTTTTAATATTATTCGAAACATTAAAAATTATTAATAAATGTTAAAATAGATTGTTTATTTAGACTTATTATTTTTCTAGGCTTCCAAGAAACAAAAATTGTTCTTGATGTCGTGGTGTCCTGACACGGCCAAAGTTAAGAAGAAGATGTTGTACTCTAGTTCTTTTGATGCTTTGAAAAAGTCCTTAGTTGGTGTGCAAAAATATATACAGGCAACAGATCTATCAGAGGCTTCTGAAGAAGCTGTTGAAGAGAAGCTCCGAGCCACTGACAGGAATTAGGAGTATTTAAGCAAATCCAAAATTATTAATATTATTGAGAGAAATCAAGTGAAAAACAGTACGCAAATTCCCTTCCCCAAAATAATGCTCTGTACCGTCGTTGCATCGAACGTTCACGTTTTTACACATTTTTCACGTTTAAACGAAAACGATTACTAAGTATTTGTGCTACATGTATTAGTCATTGGGGAACGTAAACATTAGCAGAAAGGAACATAAAAGGAACAAAAAATATATAAGAAAAAAACACTTTTCATACTGCGAACGTTGTGTGAATCTGTCTGATATAATATTAATATTATACTATTATTATAATTATAAGATACTTGTAAAAGAATAACAATTTACAACCAGTCAGGCAGTAAGAATGAAAGCATTACATTTTTGTCATCGGCTGTATAATGTTTAAATTAAATTCATTTCATAATGACTTATCGTGAAATCCCGTTAGTAAGTCCCATATTTTCCTGATGTTGTGTGAAATTCAATTGTTTGGTTTGTTGTAAAAGAAAAGGTAATTAGTAATATCGTTTGTATGATAAGTGAATTAATCGTTTTATATATGAAATAAAATTTGCTTTTCTATTATTTTCTATAATTCTTTATATTGAATTTAAGTATAAAAAACTTCTCAAATCATTTTTATATTATTTAATATACAAATTACATTAGAATTTTTGAATTCGTATAATTAAATTTATTATTTTTTTTGTTAAATTATTGAGATTTTTTAATCTTTATATTATATGATATAATGATATAAGTAAATCTTAGTTGATATATTTCTTTTTCTATATGTATATTATTTATAAAAAAAAAAGCAATACAAAAATATTATATATTTCTAACTTTGACATTTATTAATAATACTGAAATAAATTTGAATATTATCGATTTCTTTAATCTACCAGCTTTCAAATTCGATGTCGGAATATGAAATCGTGAAATATATCTTTTTTGTATATTAGTATAGTAAATAAATATGCATAACAACTTTATAAAATATGTTAGTTTCTAATAGTCTTAATTAAAATATAAATACTATTGATCTATAATTTTTCTATACAAAAATTTTTTTCAGTTTTGAATTATTACAATAATATTATATATATATATATATATATATTATTACTAATTAG